CGCATAGACTTTGACTTTTATTAGTAGGGCGAGACAAGGGATAAGGCAATCGAGTAGGCTTACTCACCAAGCCGTGGGCGCTTTTCTCGGGTCCGTTTTCCTCCTTTCTTTGCCTAACTCCTACGCCCTCGATGGGGAAGGAAAACGAGGCATATCTTTTCGAGCTCATCAATCCCCTAGGTCTTGGAAAGGAGCTAACTCGTATTCTTACCGCTAGCAATCAATCATTACAGCTTTTGCATAAGGGAAGTCGATGGAAATACACCATTTTGGTAGCCGCTTGTCTTATGAGTGAATCTCGATATATATCTATGGCCTTGAAGCTGAAGGCCTGTTCAAAAGATCAGATAGGCGGGTGGAAGCAAGAAAACGGCTGGCTAGCTCGTGCAATCTAAAAATGAGTCCTTCGCTTTAGTAAAGTAAGCTATCTTTGGTTTCTAAGGTTCTCGGGGCACTACGGTAGGACGTAGATCGATCATGACGAGAATGGACTTCTCCGTAATGTAATAGAAGAGTCACAACCCCTTCTCGACTAGACGAAGGAGATATGAATTCCATTCGGAGCTTGGCTCGACCCTCCCGGGAGGCGCAAAAGTTCATCATTCCGCGGTGTGCGGGGAGCCTCGCCCTGCGTATCGGGGGTGACTTGGATGCCGGCGGCATCCGGACAGAGTCTCGCTCATAGATGGGAGGAAGAGTACACACGCTGACGGCAGTTGATCGGATCGATAGCCCTTCGGGCAACCAACCGCACATCAAATTCCGATCAAGAACTTGGAGGGATGGCCGAGTGGCTTAAGGCATTGGTTTGCTAAATCGACATACAATCTTCTTGTATCATGGGTCTCGTAATCCCATTTCTCCGCAGAACGGGCGGGCGTGAGAGAAAGAACCTCTCTGGCTGGAGTTCCCAAAATAGCACTACTTAGTGACTGTGGAGCGGAGAGCCCGCTTCGTGTTTTTTTTTGTTTGACCTGGCCTCATCTTCTTCTCTATAAGCAGATTTCTCCCTCCCACAGTGGACTCGGACGACTCTCGGTTCTTGAGCATGTTGGGAGATTAGGCGGCAGCTGAAAGAGTTGCTCGAAAGCTTGACGAACAAGCGAAAAAAGCCCTATATCTATTTTAGTAAAGGACTTTTCCCTTACTAGTCAAAGGGGTAAGTGCAGTGGCGCTCTTCGATGAATAAAACACGTACTTTAGGAAAGCGGTTCGGTGAGCTCACAGAAAGCGTAGCAAATGACCGAAAATCCTTGTGTCGGCTGGTTCGAATCCACTTCTGAGGTGCGAAGGGTCCAAAGCAAAGGACAGCCGTAGCCGGGAGCGAGCCGGCACTGGGAAATTCAAGTGAAAGAAAAAGCCAAAAATCTCGCCTCCCCGCACTCTTACGACTTTTTTGGCGTCGCTATATCTTGCCGGAGTGCGCATTTTCTAAAAAAGCGGCTTTCTTACTGATTGGTTCTCGCCTCCCCGTGTCCAAAAGGATGGGCGAGTTTGGTTCAAGTCTTCATCGATCGCGTGGATCCATATGCTCCGAGTGGGGTGAGACGAGGTGCAGCGCTGGGCACTCGAAGCGCGCATCTCTGCTTGGGTACAAGTAGGGGCCATAGGTTCGAATCCCGGTCACCTTGACCAAGGGCTATTTATTTTGATATAGATCTAAACCCTTTCCCGAGAAAGAAGTTAGGGATTTTGGGCAACAGTAAAAATGGCTATTGTTTTGCTTCTCCATTTCCAAGCAACCCCATTCCTATCTGTAACCATATAAATGACGAGTATGAATAACGAACTGCCGTAGCCCCTTTCTCATCTCTAATGGCCATGGATACATAGTGGCTGGTCGAGGGGTTTGGTTATCGCTGGCACTACTTCCACTTTCTCGCTTCGTACTTCACATTCGATCAGCGATCAAACTTTAGGCTAGTTTATTTCCCTTCGTCCTGACCTGGCATACAAATAAAAGCCCATGACCTTCTTTTCGTCTTCAAGGAATGTCTGTAGCGTTCTCATCTCTGTACTGAATGATTGAGCTACCCATGCTATGACGGAACTACTCCACTGTCAACTGATCGAACTAGACTGATCTAGCGACACTAGCATCTATCCATCAAGGAACTGAGCTATGCCACGGATGTCGCTCTGACTGAACTACCGAGACTGACTGACAAACGAACCCAGCTCTCAAAGACCTAGCTATACTACTTAATTACTGACCCATGCTACCTATTCTAGTGCGCTAGGTAGGAAAGGGAGACAAGAACTACATTGCTATACCTGAATCAGTTTGACTCAATGCTTGCACTTAGACCTTTCCCCCAAGCTTCCTTCTATGCTGACAGAAGCGGAGAGGAGGGTTTTCACTTCCGTTGAGAAAGAATAAATGCCCTAGCTCAGCTTCCTAGCATGACACATCAGCTACGCCATCAGAGACTGAATTAGAGCCTGGACCTCCACTTGCTAGTCAGGAAATATCACCGCTCCGTGGGCTTCTTTCGCTGCTCTCTTAAGCTATCGCTCGCTTTACGAGTGCAACCTGCAACCAAGTTCAAGAAACTGCTAATTAAGATACTATGCTGGTATCTATCTAAAAGTCAATATCTGTGAGAAGCTTCTTTCTCATACACATCCGAAGCAACGTCTGATCATCATCATTAGATAGTTTAGCTGGTCCTCATCCGAAGTTGAGGCATTCAACAACTTTCTGAGACACCATTCTTTCCAGGGAGAGAAATCCTTCTCTTTGGTTGGGAAAGAGTAGGAAAGATAGGACCAGGACGGCTGTGATTGAGAAAAGCAGGCTGAATTCCTATTCGATTGCTCCGCACCCGTTCGTCTCAGGACAGGAAATAACTTTCGCCGCGCGGGTCCTACTCATAACCGGCGACCGCCCCAACAAGCTTCTTCAAGTTTATTTTTGTCAGTGTAGTCCGACAAGTGTGTAACGACCAGTACCCACATTGAAGAAAGATAGTATAGTCATCAACTTGAATCAGATGAATGAGATTTGATGATGTCCGATAATAAATAAGAGTTCAATCGGCGCCCTTTTCAAGACAGCTTTTTCCTTCATAATGACAATTGAAACGGCAAGTTCACCTAGAAGGCGCCTGCAGCCAAGGAGTTCGCAGCAGTCATAAAGCAGCCGCCGCGAAGGATCAAAGTGCCGAGTAAGTGCGGCTTTTCCCTCTCTCTCCCCTTAACATCACCGAAAGTTTCATTTATTTTCTGTGTCCTTCAAACTATCGGAGATGCCTTGTCATCACATCCACTACTTCGTCCCTTGCTATACCGAGCCGTACCGTAACATACCGTACGGGGGTTGAGTCCTCTCTCATTGAAGAAAGGGATGATGGGCAGCTACTCAACTCTTAAAGATGCCCAAACATCCGCGATTAGTGATGTAGCTTCTACTCTGATAACCAGCATGCGATGAGCAAACCGGTAAGAGGTACTCGAATCCGACGGCTCAATCAATCCTCTATTTTGAAAGGGTTAGAGCCCGGTGATTAGCTTTAGCTTCTAGATCAGCATCCGGTAAAAGGAGGACGGGCAGTGAGTTTAACAATCCACTTTTTCTATTCGCTCTAGCCAGGCTTTCATCCGCTTCTACTTCAACCTTCTCCTGGGGAGGAGAGGAAAAGCAGTTTTTTCGATACGATCTCCCTGTCTCGCTGCACCGGCATAGAGGGAAACTTCTTCTGCGTTTTGTCTAGGAATCGATTGATCTTAACGAAAAACGGCTTTTGATCGGTCCGCGTGATGTGGCTCCCTTATCTTGCAGCCCTTTGTAGAGCATTTTAGACTTTCTCGCGCAGCAGGAAATCGAAAGCACGAGCTTCGATCAACCAATGAAGCAAGCTTTTTGGTAGGGCAGTCCTTCTGTGTGTAGAACATTGGCTCATGCGTCCAATGGGTGGCACCTGACTGTTCCCAGTTCAGTTGGAACAGAAGCCACCAACATTCATTGGTGGGGGAGCTGACTGAAGTCTCCCATTACCTCTGGTAATCATGTGACGACCGTAGGAGGTAAAATAGAATTTTATTCTTCTACCCTAGGTGGTGCACTTTCACATTGGCCATAGGGGGATACTTGAATGCCTCTTTCTACGTCAATTTCTTCTTCAATAGCTGGTCCTATTCTTCCAACAGCTAAATCTCGGCTGGTCTTTCTTAATTTAATTAAGGTGAGGATGGCACGTGCTTTCCTAAATCCATTTCACCGGGTGTTCACTCAACACGAATTTCATCCCGAGGTACAACTTTGGTATACACACGATACATGACATGAAAAGTCAGCCGGGCAGGATAGGCCCTAAGTCATTTTTTATTCTCTTCGAATCGCTATCATCTCACTCAACTTCCTATTAGGAATGGCTTCCTTTCGTGTTGTGTTGTTACGGACTGATTATTCTAACAAAGGGGAGACGATACGACAATGGTATGATCGGGCAATACAGATAAGATCGATCGAATGTGTGAAGGATATGGTTCGGTTCTCTTCCGTCCCGTTCCTTCAATCAAAGAAGATGACATGCCCTGTGGCTGCCGCCGCATAGTCGAGTCTTCCCCGCGTGCCTAACATCCACTCCTTCTAGTCGAGTGCCTTGCGGCGCCTTTAACCATGAGAGAAGGCGATACCGAAGAATAACTCAATGTCACTGGCTACTCCATAAACTCAATTTCGTTGCGTAAGTGAGGAGTCATCATAGTCTGAATTTGAAATCTTTCGTAGGCTCATCTCGTCGATTGGCATTCCGATCCTGGTCATTCATAGATAGTCGACACTTTTAGTCATAGGCTAGCGCCCATTCCTGATAGCCGCAGCTCTGCCCCTTCCCTATTCCATTAAAGAATGAATGGGAATTGATCTGACAACGGCTGGGCAAAATCCATCTCTATTTTCGCTAAACTTGCTTGCTTTCATGAAGCCGACCTTAACAGACATCTCGTAGATGGAAGATCCGGTGAATCAATTAAATTAGATGCCGCTTACCTAGATGCGGTGCTTGTCCCTCGAAGCGAAGGTAAAGACCAAGACATTGGTGATTCTTAATCTGACCGCACTTCCCTCAGGTCGAACGGCTATCGATCCTGGCCCGATGAGAAAAGGGTTGAACTCATGGCCCAGTAGTCCCCCTTCTCTGATTCTCATCTTCGTGCCCTTTCATGCGCTAAGCTAAGATGGAAGTCGAGTTATAGCTGCAGCTCTTGAGAAGCCCCTTTCTAGTATCAGTTTGCCCAAATCAAAGGCTAAGGGTAGAACTCATCCAGTCTATTGCTCTCCGTTCCTTTCTTTCCCGGGGCGTTCCCTCTCTAACAATCTCTCTCGCGACATACTTTTCTCGCTAATGAATGCTATTGATAACAACGCTTTCTCTGCACTCCAGTTGCTGTTGCTTTCTTTCCTTTCCAATTGCTTTTTTTGAATGGAATCTGAGTTCAGGTGAAGAAGGTGCTCCCTCATCAAAAGGTCTGTTTCAAAGAAAGATCTTCAAATTTCGACTCTTCTCGCTACAGACTCTGATCGCTAATCCATTCCCGGTTCCAACTCCGGTGTAACTCATCACAAAATTGCGTGATCTAAGATCCGGGGACAACTTCTACTATAACCACGGCTCGGGAACTTTTAGCTCTCAGTACCCGACTTCCCGAGCTGTTCCATCCCAAGAGAGATCGGACACTCAAATAGACTATATCGAGACAAACTAATCTCGCTTTGTGGCCATCCGCTCCCCTCGCGAATAAAGGAGATGGGAGCCGCTCCTCTTCTTGCTCCCGACTTTCCCTGATTAGGGAGTTTCCTAAAACTAGCACGCCGCTTGCTTTGTTCTAAGCTCAGCTGGAAATCAAGGACTTTCAAAGTGA